AACAGGCAATGTTCGCTGATATGGGGTCAGGCTGGAAAAAAGCTAGTGGCTGTCAAACTAAAACATGGCTTCACCAGTCAATGAAGTCCACAACAGTTAGTTTAGGCCACGTAGGAAGGTGTAGACTTCCTGGGTGGGGTCCTCGGGATGGCAAAAACCAATGTTTGGAAACAATTGGTGATATGGCTCAAAATCGCTCTCAATGGCTGGCGCAAATGCATCCACTCCTTGTGACTTATGATTTCCAATGAAACTATATTGTTCTTCGTTATTACTATTCCTTTGTCTCACACCTCTGTTTACTGTTTCTATTAGGCATTTCTTCTACTTTCTTCTCTTGCTTTGTGTGCTACAGGGAGGGAGTGTGGCGACTTGAACTGGGGCACATATGTGCAAAGTTCTATGTCGAAAACAGACAGTTTGTGCTCTTAGGGAACACCAGTGGAATCCACTAGATTCCACTGCTAGTCACCATCCACCGAATTACTTCGGATTTTGAACAATCTTTATCCTTTCTTGTGAGATTTTAACAGTCAATGCCTTTGTCGTAAGAAGAAAAACTTTACACCTGTGATAAAATATAATTCTATATTAGATATGAGCGTTTGGCAGTACACTTAATGATGTAGTACTATTGACCGGATCATATTTTGAGCACGTTTTATTGTCTATCAGCAAAGTAATACTCTACCAAACATTCAGTGCACAATTTTTATTTTGTATAATATGGTATGCAACTAAATGAAAGCATGTCTGTTAGTACGTTGTACAACAAGCCACACATATTGTATGGCGGCTGATGACACTGTGTACCTATACCTACCTACCTGGTTGATATAAGAATAAAACTTGTGCACTGTGGTAGAGTGTAGTTCCCTTATGGGTAAAATTTGTTTTGATAAAGTCTCACAGTGTTATATAGTAATTCATAGATAATCCCCATCCAGGCATTAATGAAAACAAAACACGTAGATCAGCGAAGAGTCTCTTTTCGGAGAATTCATTTTCTTAGCTGTACAATCGCAAATTTATATGTGTTATTGTGTATATATATGTACATTAAGTTTGTCAAACAAAATTACAATTCGTTATGGTTATTTTAACTAAACAGGCAAAGATTGGTAATTGGAGTTACGCAATACAAAATCAGTCAAGAAAATTAGGTGTTAATGAAATTAGTGCAGTAACAAAGGCGATGAGTTGTTACAAATAGATGTTAGAAACAAAGTAGATAATACGAAATTATGTTAGAGATCTACTTTGTTTCTATGTGCATCCTGAGTAAAACTCACTCATCAAACTATTCATATTATTACGTAACTTCTTTTGACAACTGTTTGTGACAACTCATGACCTTTGTTACTACCCTAGTTTCATTAACACCTAATTTTCTTGACTGATTTTGTATTGCGTAACTCCAATTACCAATCTTTGCCTGTTTAGTTAAAATAACTATCAATATAACTACATAGGTCAAACTAGTAGGTCATTGGTAGTCAGATTATCGGAACATAAGAATTTAGCTAAGGTAAGAATGGTTGACCCCAAGAAGATAAGTAATTTAGAAAAACCAATACTTGAAAATTAATCTGTGCTCACTAGTGACTGGCCCTATTCAGGCAGTTAACCTGGGGTTCTAGTGGGAAGCCGTGACCAGTAGGGTACAGCAGGTTGAAGATGAGGCAGTAACTCATGGAAGAAGACATTGCGAAGTGGTCGCGCTATGTCGTGAATTGGCAGAAGTTAGAATTCAAGGACCATTGGATCGGGTCCCAGTGGCTCAATGGTCTTCGAGCTCGCCTTGTAACCGGAAGGTCATGGGTTCGAATCCCAGTGGGTGAGTACTGCCGATGATTCCCAAACTAGGATGAAACAGCAGCTGTCCAGTACTCCCTGTTTTTTTTCAATGGTTCTCTAACTAATATCAATCCGTGATCAACTCGTAAAAACATAACTAACCCTTACAAACCAAACTATAGATGATAACTTAATTGTTAATTTTTTGCTTTTTACTGTCAATAAGTTGAAATACGATAAGTATCTTATTACTAATCCGGAAAACTTTTTGTAAGTTTGTTGCACTTTATTAAAGTGTCTCAGTTGTTGTTTTTGTTGTCTCTGAAATCTGGGTTATTGCATAGTTGTTGGTTACTACAGCCCAGAAACTATTGATTTCTCTAGCTATATGATACCCTCAGTGCATGCGTTCTTTCCACTATTTAGTTTGACTGTAAAACGCAGTTTTCTGGATAAATCGGGTCAACTCATGTAGCTAAAAGTTGTATTTATTTTTAGTATATGTATATAATCTTTCTCCCAAAACGTTTCTGACTTTTGTGACTTGTCGGGTTCAACTCTGGCTAAACAACCTTCAGATAAGAATGTGTACAAATGGAATGAAATGCCATGTGATGAGACGCTCATTTGTCCATGTGATTTCACTTAACTCATTCGTTTACATTTTTGTAGTTAGTTAGTTGTTATAGAGATGATTTGATGAGCAGGGGGTATACGTTAGTGCGTAAGTATAATACCTTGTACAACTACTATTACTATACTTCAGTGACAGCCTATAAACTGGGCTAAATTTCTTCTACACAATACGACTAGATCAAAATCCTAAAGTGCATCTCACCTTAAGCTTATTTTAGCTGTTTGATTACGAATACACTGATAACTCAAAATGTATATTTCGCCACCCACATTAGTAAACTTTGGTGATATGTGATACACGTTTTTATGCGTAATGTCTGTACGTAGGTTGCCAAATAGAACGTTACTATAGAAAGCGTTTGCAGACCTACTTTGATTGTGAAAACTTAAGATTTTCTTAGGAGGATAAGATTGTGTCATGTGATGATAACATGTCTAGTAGTTTATGGTGTGACACAACGGTAGAGACAGTGTATAACTTGTAATTAATGGTGCGACAAAGCATTAAAAAACATCTTTGAAGCTCCTTTGTCTCTATCTATAACAACATGAAGTGTTGATTATTAAGTGTATCTCAGACTAATTAGAAGTCTATACAATGTGAAGAGTCGTGGATAGTTAACATTATGAATGTTATAAATCAATGTATGTAATATTTGCTTCATATTGTGGCCTAATCAAAATGCACTGATATGATGTTAAAAGTGACTAGGATTATAACTACAGAGAATTTTTTTTAAAACGTTCAGTGGTTTTGCTAATCTACAGTAATTACTTTTTTAACTCATATGTTAGTCACAAATCTTGTCTAGAGGATAGTGTCACCGTGGTTTTGAATGAAACTGAGAAGGATGTAAAGTACAATTTAACTAAAAGAAGTGTTTAATATACATCTTAGCAGTAGATTAAAATATTGCTCTTATGTTTGTTAATTTACAGCAATATTATTCCAGACCTTATTGCATTGTTGCTAGTGTAACAACAGAAGACAAAGGCTGGCAACAGATCATTTTATTACGGAAATCAGCACGTATATATATATATATATATATATATATATATATATATATATATATGTTTCATGTACATTATTATAGCTTTATTCAAGCAGACAAACACAGTTTTCTGATTGGTTGTTTCGGGTAACCTCGAAAAGTGGAGCCATCTATCTGCGAATCATATTTGCCCACGTTAAGTCTGCTGTGATTGGTTGTTGAATCAGCCTTGTTCATATTTTCTCACGACCAATATTAGTGACCTAGACATTGACGTAAATTAATGTCTACCAACTGGCTAGTAGCCTGCTCTCATCACACTAGTACTGCACTGTTTTATATCAGATCAAGTTGATTTTTAAGCATCCTACAGCATGCTAGGCGTCTCCATCATTAATTGCTTGACTATGCTTCGATATAGGCATCAATATTGATCAGAACTCTCTGTCACTCTCCCTCTTTCTCTTTCAAGCTGGATTCAATTCAAGCAGCTTACTGTAAATACGTATACACAATCAATTTACCTTGTTTTCTACTAATTTTTATTCATACAAATATGCAGAACTTTGTTGGAACTTTTATGCCACAAAACCTCATCTAAGGTAACAGCTCCATATGAATACTTCTGTTTTGACGTACAGCTGTACTCGGACACGGGATTCATCTAGTTTTGACTTGGTATTAATTTACTGATGTCTGTCTGATGCCTGCAGAGTTTGATTTTAGAATATATGAATCCGTCACTCTTCCACCTGACTTTGTGCACCATGAAAAACCTATAGGATCTACTTCTCATACCTGAAAACAGAAAGCTATCCCGAAGATACTGCATAGAGTTCCACCACGTGTCGTTACTACTTACTATCACTAAGTAGTATGAGTTATGTGCATTAATTTAAAAATCGACAGTTAACGATATAACACTGGTTATAAGAGGAAACCTGTCTAAATCATTAATGCCTTTGGTCTTTTAGACTTCATATCCTGTTTAGGAAAGAATTCAGTTTCAGTCTCTTTTGTTGTAAACTGTTATACATCACTGAAAACCTCATGTTTTGGAGCTTCACGTTTAGTATAACGACAGTTCTCTCTGTCATCATCATGGAAATAAAAGACTTATTATTCAAGAGTAACAAGTAATGTATCTGAACCTGTGAGTGATCCCTAAGCCATACTATTCCAGTGCTTGTTACTTCGTGAATAGATTTAAGCTATAAGCAATAAGCATATGGAAATTTTATTGGTATCCAGTTTATATATTATGGTATAGTATTACTGATTCTTCTTTACAACGAGATTTCTCCAATTCTCTCAGTTTATTCCAGTTTGCAGATCCATAGTTATGCAACCATAATGTAACTGAGCTTAGTGACAGTGAATACTATTCAATACAATAGTTTCTACTGAGTGAAATATTATTAAAGACTTCAGCTAATATGATCATCACAATATATATATATACACGAAACCATTTCTCTGTTCATTTGCCTTTTCATAACTATATTTGTTATCTTTTAGACAAACCAGTCGCTTTTGATCAGTTTATGCTGTCTTGTTAATTCATCAAGATAAATGGATCCAACAGCTGATATGAATGATGGCAATAAAGAAAGTCTGAGTGAAAATTCAGACTTATCTCAAGACGCAAATGTACTCTCAACAACAATAATAACAACAACAACAACAGTGACAACCATAACAGCAGTTGAGAATAATCAACCGACTGATACAGATACAACTGTTGATCAACCATTTAAGAAACCGAAATTAACTACTGAGGTAAGTTTATACTCTTTAAGAAGTCATCTTTTGTGTATTAATTCATGATGCCTTGTTTTATGCTATTTGAACTTTGTCAGTATTTGTTGGTTGAAGAAGGGAATCGGTAGGAAACCTTGTACCTAGGTTTTGATGCTAGTTGGCACTCACTAGTCAGCAAGACGCATCTGCAGCCTTGAAGGAATTCATGTCCCTTCTGAGATTCGAACATGCATCACCCAGTGCTGCAGTCAGAGACATTACCACTGAGCTATTCCGGCTTGCGATTGATCTCCTGTAGGACTTATTGTATTGGATATGATCTGCACTTTAGTAATTATTGATTGTATACGCTAAAACTCGAAAGCAGTTGAAGGTAAATTGTAGGCTCATACTATAAACAAAAAGGATTAATTCATATCTTCAGATGTATAATGGAAAAGATCAGATATTTTAACAAAAAAAACTCAAGTAATTTTGAGAATATTATTATTATTCCCTAGTGGAAGATAGGGCTTCAGCGAAATATCGCCACTTTCCTTAGTCTTCTGTGGTCTTTTTTTAGCTAACCCGACGATTGTCTATAAGCTTTTATTTTCTCTATGTTACCCTCGGTAGTCTACACATTGATTTACTGAATAGTAGTATTTCTGTGGTGAGAGCAGCCTGCTAGCCAATTGGTAGACATTAATCTACGTCAATGTCTAGGTCACTAATATTGGCCGTGAGAAAATATGAACAAGGCTGATTCAACAACCAATCACAGCAGACTTAACGTGGGCAAATATGATTCGCAGATAGATGGCTCCACTTTCCGAGGAACTCGAAAACAACCAATCAGAAGACTGCGTTTGTCTACTTGACTTGGCTATAATAATGTATGTGAAATTTATATAAATACATGTTGATTTTCGTAATAAAACTATCTGTTGCCTGGCCCTTGTCTTCTGTTGTTACATTTCAATACATTTGATTGTTCATCATGCTCGTAAGGGATGGATATACTAATGTGCACTAATGACTTCATATATAGGTTTGAGACAACATCTTTTCGATTCTTTTTGCATCATACATTATATCTTTCATCCAGTAATTGATTAAGTCCTGAAGTAAACCGTCAGATTATAGCATACTGTGACACTTTCACAAATATTTGAGTAGAAATAATGCTCAATACTGTTTGCGTCCTGTTTCCTTTGTCTTGACCTTATTTATTCCGTATGTCAAATACGCGCAATAAACAGGAAAAATTCGTATGCCAATCAAAACAAAGATAAATGTAGTTCAATCAGCTTGTCATTTTGTTTGTTTTATTCTTTAGTTGCATATGACAGTGTATTCTATATATAAAGAAACATTAAGATAGAATTCTGGCGCCAAATCTTAGTTACTGACTCACCAAGTTCATGTAACACACTTAAATGCCTTTGACTGTATACCGATGATTTAAGTGTAACAACAGAAGACAAGGGCCGTCAACAGATCCTTTTATTGCGGAAATCAACACGTATTTATCTATATTTCCTGTACATTATTATAGCTTATTCAAGTAGACAAACGCAGTCTTCTGATTGGTTTTTTCGGGTTTCCTCGAAAATTGGAGCCATCTATCTGCGAATCATATTTGCCCACGTTAAGTCTGCTGTGATTGGTTGTTGAATCAGCCTTGTTCATATTTTCTCACGGCCAATATTAGTGACCTAGACATTGACGTAAATTAATGTCTACCAACTGGTTAGCAGCCTGCTCTCACCACATAAGGACTTCCGACATCTAAGATAGATTAGTACGATATACATTATGCCTTTATGTGAATACTGTCTGTAAATTTGCTTTACTGCGTTTTAATTTAGATTTCAGAGTAAAAGTCTTCGACAGGGATACCCTACAATGAATATTATCTTCAATCTGTGTGTTCATACGGTATTACAGGCCTTAAGTACTTTGTAACACTTTCGAAGCGTTTTTCAGATGGTGTGGATTTATTTTTTTCTACTACATAAGGGAGTGAGAACGATGATTTTTGACAACTTTTGAAACGAGTTAGTCAACTTTTTTAAAATAGTGATTATGATGTTAAGGGAACTAACTGTACATACCACAATTTTCAATATAGCCGATACTTGTATTCACGAGAATAAGCAGACGCTACAAAGGATTCAAGAATGATTATGTCAATACCGAAATCCCTAATTCAAACGTTTGTCATGTGTAAAACAGTCTGAAGCTCCCGTTACAAAAGAGAATGAGAAAAACATCTGTTTAAAGCCTATTGGTGATGTGTTGATTTGGTTAACTGCCTAATAATATAATATAGATAGCTCGTATCAGTCTCCGTGTTTCCTATTGGATAACTGAAATGAAGTCAACGGAGTCATAACATATATAGCTTTCCTGTTTGTCTCGCTTATTGCCTATTCCGATACACGGACATAACCGATTCACTATATTAAATTTCTATCAAGTTATAATTGCTTATTATCACCAATGATATTCCTAATTGTGGTGGACTGGATTATGCGTCAGACAGTGGGAAACGAGAAGACAGGGATATCCTGGACCGACATGAAGAACGCAGAAGACCTGGATTTCGCGCGTGGATGATTTATGTTTGATGTTACACAAAGTCGAAGACTTACAAGCGAAAACCGACAAACTGGTCGAAGAAGCAGCCAGAGAAGACAGGACTCCAGGTGAACATAGACAAGACGGAGGTGATGAAAATAACCAACCAACCAACAACAATAACAACAGCAACATCCACCGACAATCACCATCAACGGGAGGAATTTGAAAGAGGTTACTTCATTCATTCACTTATCTAGGTAGCGTTGTCTCAACTACAGGAAGTCGGAACGGACGAGGATATCAAATCGAGCGAGAATCGGGAAGGCGAGAAACACATTCATTGACCTGAAACCAATCTGGAAATCTTCGTCACTCAGCCAGCATCAACAACAAAATTCAGTCGGATTTTCAATACAAACAACGTCAAGTCAGTTCTTCTGTGCGGATCAGAAACCTGGCGGGTGGGCGGGTCACAAAGAATATTTCCAACAGGTTGCACACATTTAATAACAACTGTCTTCGCTCTATACTGAGGATCACATGGCTGGGCCGGAAAGAATCACCAACAAGAAACTAACTATGGGAACAAACAAAACAAGAACCAATCGCCAACTAACAAATATGCAGGAGAAAGTGGAGATGGATCGGACACTCGCTGAGGAGGCCGGTTGGTGACATCGCGCGCGCGTTAGGTCATTGCTCGAGTGGAACCAGGCCGAAAGTAAAGGGGCGAGTGGGATGTCAGTGCAATGGTGACATGGAGGAGATGGTGTGAAGAGACGGGAGTTGAAAGAGTATGGACTAACATGGAATCAGGTTAAAAGTACAGAAGAAGGAAGACAGAAGTGGCAAGTGGAGACGTTCAGTTGAAGCCCTATGTTCCACTAGGAACCCAAGGGAACAATAATAATATAATAAATAATAATCAAGTTATAATTGATTCGTTGCATTCTATGCTAAATAACATGTGATAAAATAAAAAACTACAAAGTAATGTTCATGTAATTGTCAGTGAAAAATTCACCTCAAGGCACTTTTCATTTGAACTTTAAATAAATAAAATTGTAAATCTTATATGCTTTAATACATGTGAAAACACTTTTTATTTTACTTTTTTTCCAAGTTGTTTATAAAGTAAACTGTTTTTCTTTCAAACAGGTTGATCTAGACTCACCACGCTCCAAACCAGGTACACCCAGTTTATCAAGTATAGTCCCAGTTATTACTGATTCAGCTGTTGCATCTTCTTCGTCATTATCATCAGAAGCAGTTATATCATATGTCGATCCACTCGCTACAGAATGTCAAGAGACTGTAGCATCTGTAATTGGAATTGATGATCCAACAAGTACTGTCTTATTAGTTACTGAAGGAGCAGAAGAGGAACGTGAAGATGATGAAGAAGAGGAAGAAGATATTGATGATGAAGACGAGGAGGAGGATGAGGAGGATGAAGACGACAATACAACTGTACTTGGTGATGCGGACAGTGAATCTGTTGTCAGTGAGATTATATCACCAGTTTTGCAACAGGATAAAGAGGCGAGAAAAATAGAAGATCGTAAACTACTCGCGTTGTTAGCACATTTTGATGAGGAACAATTGAATCGTTTCGAAACATTTCGAAGGGCTACATTCGCTAAAGCTGCAGTAAGACGTGTAAGTTTTCAGTTCTGATTTATTATAATTATTAGTGTCAAGTTTGATTACGGATTGATATTAGTTAGAAAACTATTGAAAACCAAGGGGTGTTGGACAGCCGTTTCGTCCTATTTTTGGACTCCTCAACAGTATGCACCCATGAACCCTCCAGGGACTGAAGACAGGGCATTCAGATTGAGAGGCAACCTGGTTGACTCCTCATCCACTGGAACGGAATCCACTGGCCTATGAATTCTAGCTTCCCTTAATTCGCTACCTTTAACACTACCACCACCACCAGCCAGATCGCGACATGACAGAAGTTATGATTTATGGGTTATTGGATTCCTTTCCAGTGGATAAAAGGTCAACCAGCTCTCCTCTCAACCTTAAAGTTCCAGGTGGGGTTGTGGGTGCGTATTGATGAAGAATCTCAACCGAGGACGAAAGAGCGGTCCATTACTCCCTGTTTTCAGTGTTTCTCTGACTGGCATCAATCCGTGATCAAACTTGAGACAAATCAAATCCCTACAAACTAGAACTTGAAAATTATTACTATTACTGTCAGTAAACAGTAAATAAAGTAGAATAAAGGACAAGTCTATCCTAACTCCTACTTAATAATTGACAGATTACTGATTGAATGTGTGACCTAATTAATTACCCATCACAGTCAATATTTGAATCTTTTTGCGTAATTATATACGAATATTTTCTAATTTTCATCTTCAACAGTAAAGTAAGTTTGAATATCCCTGATTATCTTTATAATTATACAATGCAAAACAATGTTAACTGCAATTATAAGGAAATCAATTTTAAACAGTTCATCACTCACTAAGACATTAAATATTGTTAACTTAATAATAATAATAATAATAATTTGCCTTATTCCAAAACAGTACTTGTGATACAGAATGGAATTCTCAGCATTTTACTACAGTATTGCATCCAGTTAGTACATGAACTGTAACTAAAAATTCTACATAGATTAAGTATAATCTCAGTTAGTTTTGACAACAACATATTGGCATGTCGGTAGCAAAGCCAAAATTGAACAGAGTGTTTGAAGCTGTTAGAAAAGTTGATGCTAGCATATATACTGGCGTAAGCGGTAACAAAAGGTCGAGATATACAGAGCGCTAGAGAATGAAGAAGAATGTTTTATAGAGTTTGTAAGGAAGAGAGAAACAAAGCAGCACATAACAACACAAAAGAAAAGAGAGAAAAGTAAAAGAAAGGAAGAAAACGTTGTACCTATACATGATATGAGCTGGAAAGACGAGATCCAGTTGTTCTACTGACTGTTTAATAAGTTAAAGGTTTCACGCCTAGTGCTTTCTTCATCGCACAGAACACGAGCTAAGTAGGGTATGGTTGAGCTTCTGTACTTACTAGTGCGAGCATATAGTTTTTGCCTGATGAGATACAAGAGGAGAGTTGTGAATGTAGAGGGTGTTGTGAGTCAGATAAAAGGGATTTTGCCCATTTTTCACATGAGTCCAAGTGCCTGTCGACTAGAATATTAACACGCTGGTTGAGTGGCACGTAGCTTACCCTGCTGAAAACCTTTAACATCCTGCGTAATCAGGTATAGTCTTTCTTCAGTAGCCAGCCCTGGAAAAACTAAGGGGGAACAATAGAGAATAATAGGCAGAATACGGGAGTTAACGAATCGTAGGAGTAAGGGTTGAGTTATACCAGAATGTCTTAACTTCTTGATGTAGAAGGTAAAACGGAATATTTTCTTAGAAATCATCAAGATATGATATACGACCTTGACCTGGTGGCCTGTTCGAATTTTCGGGTCAGCTATTATAATATCTACATATTGCATCCAATCTACCTTCTACTCACATTTATTTATCACCTAAATATGAATTCTAACAGGATCATTTACTCTCGTAACTTTATTAATCATTTACAACCAAATGACTTTCATATTCCCAAGAAATCAAGGAAGAAGCATCGTAGGGGTTGGCAGAGAGCTCTCAAACGTATATAGAATACACTTAACATTTATAAGAGTAACTCAACTCTGAGACAATTTAGTAATGAAATTTTCATGATATTGCCAAAAATGGTTTACTTACTGCATCAAAAAGTAGGATCAATCGATCGATCGACTGGTCGATCAATCAATCAATCAGTTAGTCAGTTTCAAGTGATAGCCAAGATTACAATTATGAAGTCAAACGTCAACCGATTGATGATAAGCAGTAATTATTCATATTTAGGTAGAAAAGAAAAACATTTCTGTGACAGTAAATATAAATATTTTCTTTTGTTTTCATGTGAATTAAAGCGTTATGATGTATTTATTATCTGTAGAATATTTGATTTGTTTAAAATAAAAAGAAACCAATTTTGTTTATGTCTGTTGATATAATGTTCTAGCACTAATCCAATTTTGGCATGCTAGAGTTATAAAAATTTTTTTATTTGTCTGTTCTTTGTAAATTTACTGTTACTGTGATACTCGAATTCATTTAACCGATGAATGTTTTACTTACTTAAGTGTGGTTTACTCTTGAACATGATCTAGGCTAAATAAACTATTCTTATGCATCAGTTGTTGTACTGCTTACCATACTTTTTTCAGTGTTACCCGCTATCCTAAGATAATTGCATGTAACTGTTCCATCCCGGAGATCCCATTCACTCAGTTAATTCGGGCTACTTTAGAAGATTGGCAAACGACAGTAGCCAGTATTGAGCTAGGTTGCTTTGGCACATTTTTATTCTAAAGGACATATGCCAACTTACGTTATCTCTAGCGTAGACGTGATATCCGACTGTCGATCGAATGATTTGTATACCGCTCAGTAGTTCTCTCCATTCTCCTTTATGTTTGTGAGATATGACCGTTGAAAGTGAAAGACATGAAAAGCCTGGTCAGCTGTCTTCGATCATAGGTGCCTGCACTCTATCTCCCGTGTTAGGTGGCATAATACGGTGATTAATATTGAGGTCAGGCATTGAGTGCTAGGTTAGAAGGGAAAACCGACTGATGAGGTTGTGAAGCTACATCGATTGAAATGGTTAGGATATGGGTTATGCATGCATGCCTAGCCATCGCCTTCCTCGACTGACGGGCAATGTTAGCTGACATAGGATCAGGTTGCAAAAGAGCTAGTGGAGATTAAACGAAAACATGGCTTCATTAGTCAGTGAAATTCGCAACATTTAGTTTAAACCAGCCAGATAGCCATATAGGAAGGTGTAGACTAGCTGGCTGGTTGGGGTCCTTGGGACGGTAAAAACCAATGGAGGTTGGAGACAATCGATGATATGGCTCGAAATAGTTCTCAATGGCACAGATGCTTTCACTCTTTGTGATTTGTCATATCCAATAAAACTATTTTGTTTTTTTTTCATATTACTACTCTTTTTTCCCTCACACTTCTGTTTATTACCTCTTTCGCTTTTAAATCTTTTTTACTCTCGTCGCTTGCTTTGTGTGCTTCGGGGGGAAGTGGTGACTTGAACTGCTGCACATTTGTGCAAAGTTCAATGTTGAAAGCAGTCAGACAGTTTAGATTCGGTCAGCACCATTAAGACTGATGAAGTCTTAATTAACTGAGTAATTTAATAATTGATACATTTGTTAGTCTCACTGTCAGTTGTATTTGACAATGGTAATTTATTATGTAACGGTAGAATCTCTTCAGTTTGCATCGAAATCACAGTCGTATATCAGTGTCTTGAATTGGTAACGATGCGAGTTGAATAATGTACGTTGAAGTGACTGTTTCATTCACTCAGCCTACCTAGTCATTCATTAACTTCACTTCCATATATTGGATACAGTTATAACTAAGTCGTCGGTGGCACAGCGGTTAGGACGCTTGCCGACCATGCACATGGTCCGGAGTTCGATCCCCGGCTGGCGCACTCCTTTACATCGCTAAGCCAGAAATAATGCTTGTAAAGAGGAAAGGTTGGGCATGAGGCTAGCAAATCCATCCTGTAAAATTAAGCACTGCTACAGATACTTCAAGCGACTAGCTTGGGGCCCTATGTTCCACTGGGAACGTGAAGGAAAGAAAAAAGAGTTAAAGTTTTAGTCTATTTAATGATTACTTTGGTTCTTAGCGATGTCTCCTATCATTCACTACAATAAGAAGGAAGTCAAGTCTTACTCTGTTAAGTCACAAAGATCAAGAAACATCTAAGTTCAGTATATATATATATATATATATATATATATATGTTGTTATCGTCGTGATGACAAGACTGCGGCTTAATCCAGAACTTTGCACAAAAGTATATTCATCGACAGTGTCATACTTTAAAATACCACAAAGATTTTCTTTTTATTTCAGTTGGTACAATCGGTCACTTCATCGTCAGTTTCACAAAATGTGGTTATTGCTATGGCTGGTTTAACAAAAGTTTTTATTGGAGAATTAGTTGAAGAAGGTAAGCAACACACTTTTTCATCATTATTCGGAACATGTACATAAGCATTATTTGTCCGATGAATTTCTACCAAGTAACCTTAACACAAAGGTTTCGAGGAATTTATTACATTAGTTGAAGAGACCATATAGAAGGCTTCGTGTGCTATTGGAAGTGTGTGGGCGGTTGTTACTTCCCGGCTGCCCACACCGTGGAAGTTGATTGATTCTTCGGGTACCTAAAACAGTGAGAGGCTTAGTGTTGCGTGACCACAGATCCCAGGGGACAACTGCTTGAGGCCGGTCACACACGGCCTGTATGAACTGGTTTCTGGGATTTGTTCCGTATTAGTAAACTTACCGCTGGTTACGGACCACCGTAGGGTAAGTCGGGATGTACAATTTTGGGGTCGACCTTTTCTAACCCTCTCCCTCCGGAGCGGAGAGACAGCTGGCGTGCTGGTCATCTGAGGGAAACACCTTACCGCTGTTACACCCCTATTCCCTATAGTGTAAGAATGATTCTTACACGATGCTGGTAACTGCTTTTAGTCTAATCACTATCCCAACAACCTTCCTGGCATGGTAGGACCTGCAGGAACATTAATTCCAGCCAGTGTAGCTTTTTGGGTCATCGCGAAATGCAACCTTGTGGTCACTGCACTGAAGATTTCCTGCTGAATCCTTTCATTCCGCTTGAAACACAAGGAATAAATTGTAATAATATAGTGATTTTTCACATACACAGGTATTAGGTAATAGCGCTTGTTGACGATATTAGTCAACTACTAGTCTAGTTAATCGTTTTCAAGGTGTTTTATCAGTATGCTACCGACAAAAACATTTTGTGCTTTAAAAATTATTTAAGTGTCTGATTAATCTTGCAATTAGTTTTTCAATATATATATATATATATATATATATATATATATGCCAAAAATGGATAATATCAAATTTATTCATGCTAAATGTAAAAATAATATCGATTTATTATAACTAATATCGATTATCTTGTGGTAAATAGTTTCTGCGTACTATTAGAAAAGAATCATTTAAGTTAAATGAGATCTTCGAAGAAGCATAGTTTGAATAAAGATTGTTGATTGTATAACATCCGATGGTAACTGGTCTTTCTATTGATTAGAACTTCTGAGATTCTATGCAAGTTGCACTCCTTACAGGCATCCGTCTATTAGGGTACAAACCTCTAGGATTGTTCGTAAGACATTGGCATCAGGTCTTATTGGTATTATTATTCTCTTTATACAAAATAAGATTTTCTGCATTTTCATCCCGTAGCAAATTTATTCGTTTTACCCTACTAAACGACATGCTGGAAATTTTGAGGTTCTGGTGAATTTCGATTCATTCCGCCTAAACGTTTTCGAAATGTTCACACTAATCTATCCTAAAATTACCGACGAAAATCCCAGAAATTGCCTGAAATTTCTTCACTTGGCTTGCAAATAAAATCAACAGAAATGAACACGAAGTCTGATGTGTGCAAGCTAATTTTTATTATTATTGTTACTATAGTTCCCTTGGGTTCCTAGTGGAACATAGGGCTTCAACTGCACGTCTCCACTTGCCACTTCTGTCTTCCTTCTGCTGTACTTTTCACCTGAATCCATGTTAGTCCATACTCTTTCAACTCCCGTCTCTTCACACCATCTCCTCCATGTCACCCTTGCACTGAAGCCCCACTCGCCGCTTCCCATTATGTCGGTTTCCACTCGAGCAATGGGCTGACGCGCGCGCGATGTCACCAACCGGCCTCCTCAATGAGTGTCCAATCCATCTCCACTTTCTCCTGCATATTTGTTAGTTGGCGATTGGTTCTTGTTTTGTTTGTTCCCATAGTTAGTTTCTTGTTGGTGATTCTTTCCGGCCCAGCCATCAGATCTCCAGTATAGATCCAACGAAGACAGTTGTTGATAAAGGTCTGCATGCAACAGGCTGTTGGAAATATTCTTTGTGACCCGCCCACCAGCCAAGTTTCTGATCCGTATAGAAGAACTGACTTGACGTTGTTTGTATTGAAAATCCGACTGAATTTTGTTGTTGATGCTGGCTGAGTGACGAAGGTCTCCAGATTGGTTTCAGGTCAATGAATGTGTTTCTCGCCTTTCCGATTCTCGTTCGATTTGATATCCTCGTCCGTTCCGACTTCCTGTAGTTGAGACAATGCTCCCTAGATAAGTGAATGAATGAAGTAACCTCTTTCAAATTCCTCCCATCGGTGGTGACTGTCGCTGGATGTCGCTGTTGTTATTCTTGTTGGTTGGTTGGTTATTTTTATAACCTTCATCTTGTCCATGTTCACCTGGAGTCCTGTCTTCGCCGGCTGATTCTTCGACCAGTTTGTCGGTTTTCGCTCGTAAGTCTTCGACTTTGTGTGACATCAAACATAAATCATCCACGCGCGAAATCCAGGTCTTCTAGGTTCTTCACATTGGTCCAGGATATCCCTGTCTTCTCGTTTCCCACTGTCTGACGCATAATCCAGTCCACCACAATTGGCAATATCATCGTGGGTGATAATAAGCACCCTTGTCTGACTCCTGTGTTTACTCCAAACGCCTCGCTGAGTTTTCCATTGTAGATCACTTAACGTGTGTCGTTATCGTACAGCTGCTGAATAAGGTTGATGAATATTTGGGCCCTGCTTGCCGTAGTACTCGAGTAATTTCCAAATTACTTCGCGGTCAATGCTGTCGACAGCCTTCCCAAAGTGTATGAAGTTGAGGTAGAGATTTGATTGCCATTCCATACTTTCTTATGTGATGATGATGTGCAGAGTTGTAATTTGGTCGGAACATGATTTGCCTTTCCTGAATCCAGCTTGTTCTGGTCGGAGTTCTGTATCCAGTGCGTCCTTTATTCTCCCCAGAATGATGCGACTCAGGATTTTACTTGGCTTCGACAGGAGCATGATTCCTCGCCAGTTCTTGCAGAGTCCTAAATCGCCCTTCTTTGGTAGTTTCACGAGGTAACCTTTCTTCCAGTCAGTAGGCACCTTTCCCTCCTTCCAGACCTTTTGCAATAATGGAGTCAGCATATCTGCTGTCGTCTCTGGGTCCGCTTTTAGTGCTTCAGGGGCTATTCTATTTGGTCCAGCTGCTTTTATAGCTTTCAGAAGCTTGATTGCATTCAAGACTTCAGCTTTCGTTAGAGGGTTGGTGTCAACTTGCATTTGTGTACATTACTCTCATACTCTACGATATTTTCCCTCAGATTTACGGGGAGCACCACATTGTTCCTAAAGATGCACAAGTGAAAATGTAATAATAATGATTTACTTTATTCCAAAAGCAGTACTTGTAATACAGAATGGAATTTTCAGCATTAATCACAATATTGCATCTAATTTCCTCAAATTATAAATAAAATTAATCACACTGAAAATTTTCCACATTTACAATAGAGGTAGTGTCAAAAACATGCAACATATAAAATGGAAATAGCAATAATAATGATAACAGCTAGGGTAATAATAATAATACAAGTGAAAATTAGCGTGGGTTTGTTTCTCACAGTATTGTCGATGTGGTATAGAAATCCTAACATGTTTAAAAATATTGAATATAATGTTCTCTTTACATAATATGGTGAGGGGAAAAACAAAGATTACAGCAGTCATGGAGATAAGTTGGTGTTTGCAATTAAGAGAGTAAAACAAACAAGTAACAGGACCATAAATATAATAGAAATAATAAAAGTAAAGCTTGAAGGTATATAAGGATGGATGGAGGAAATTGTTTATTTATTAGGTGAAAAAAGGTTAGTTAGTTCTTGCCTGACACTATTTTCATCACATAAAATACGTACCAAGTATGGTATCATAGAATTTTTATACTTAGACGTGCGAGCATACAGTTTAATGAAGTTACTTCTTGTTCTACCTGAGGAGATGCAAGGTGAAAGCTGAGCGTAAAGTGGATGCTCCAAGTCAGACAAAATCCCTCTAGCAAATTTATTGCACGAAGTCAAGTGCCTATCGACAACGACGTTAACTATGTGGTCCACTGGGACACCACTCACCCTACTGACTGACCGTCTTCAGTATTCTACGAATTGTGACATAGTCCTTTTTAAGCAAACCAGGAAAGAATAAGGGTGAACAATAAAGAAGAATAGGTAGGATGCAAGAGTTTATGAACTGTAAGAGGAAGGGTTGAGTTATACCCGAGTGTCTTAACTTCTTAATGTAAAATGTCAGGCGGAATATTTTACTGGAGATTGCTAAGACATGGGAAGTCCAGGAGAGATCAGAAGAAAGAATAAGTTCAAGATACTTAATTTCTGATTTGATTCCTATATCACTGTCGTCAATTGGACAACTGTCATGAGAATCGATGACTTCTTTTAACTGTCTTTTACATCTTAAGCTGAAATTAACAGTTTGACATTTAGAAGGATTCAGTTTACGACCATTAGACTCAGACCATTTACTGATTCCCGACAGAAAGCTATTTATTTTGGTACAATCTAGCTGGGAGTTAATTTGATGAAATCTCTGATTGATTAAAACACAAACAAATGAAGTAATTTGCAGCAATGTGTTTGATAGAATTGGGTATTGTGGTAGCCTGAAATTCAAGCAACTCTCCGGCTTGTAGATGTCTTAAAATAAACCTGTGTATTATATTGGGACGGTCATTTACAAGTGATCAGTGAAGCACAACCTTTGATATATGTACGTAAACAATGCAACTCTCAACAAATTATACGTGTACTTTAAGAATTTCAGTGGGTATAATGTTGATGATTTTCGATTATTCTTTTCTGTTGTATACTGACTGCATTGTGTCCATTGTTTCCATTTCCTCTACAATTCAATATACAGGTCGTTTATAAAGTGTAACAATTTAAGCTGATACTGATCTGTGGAAAAGTTTTAAATGCTTTCTTTTTTTCTTCACTGTGTGGCTAATATCAACCAGATGGGACAAAATAAGGCTTCATATAGTTCATTCTTGTTCTTTATTTAGGCACAATCGGTGATTTTTAGCGATAAGGATGAGTAAGCTAAATATAAGTGAATTATCAGGAGCAGTTAAACCGATAAATACACATGGATGTGATTAAACTAGCTAGCCTATTGCTTCTTTTATTTAAAGAATATCCTATTCGTATTTGTCAGTCTCTATTATAAAACTAAACTTGATAGATCACCATTATATGCCAGTTTAATAAATAAACTTATGTATATCGGAGTAAAGTCAGAGGTGATTTTAATCGGAAATTATAAGGTCCACTTACGTAGTATGTTTCAAATATAAAATTGACAACTCATATAACGAAAAATTATGTTTTTGACTACACAATGACATAACCATCTTTTTTCACTCACCATGTCCATAAATATTTAATATATTGGGTAGTGGATTGGGTTTATCCCTAGTTATCGTAATAATGACTTTTCAGCAGTCTTCTATGCAGACCAATCCCAAATGTATAATGTTGTTTTGAAGTATAACTCGTTTATGCACCTGTGAAACAACTAATTAGTTGAACGCAAAACCCATAAAATAAAGGTTAGTTGCGTAACCACTCACATCTTTAGTCACTCAGGACAAAAAGCTTTCATTACTGGGAATTAAAGTTGCCAACAGAAATACTACAATCAGGTTTCACAAGTGACAAATTAAATCTACTTATGTAATGTAACGTAATGTGTTATTCAGACCGACGTAGATTCTCTTATATTTCCGGGATAACGAATAACTTTGAAGAGTTGGTTCGTAGGGAATTCATTTGTTCTTCAAGTTTGACCACGGATTGCTATCAGTTAGAGAACCATTGAAAACTAGGGAGTAGTAGACAGCTGTTCCATCCCAGCTTGGCACTCATCATAGTGTACACACCCACTGGGTTTCGAACCCGGGACCTTCCAGTCACAAGACAAACTCGTAGACCATTCAGCCACTGGAACCCAACTCAAAGGCTAGCTCATGAATTGTAACTTCTACCGATTCGTGATTTTAGCGCAACCACCAACCAATTTCATCGGCGAGTATATGTCCTCACTGCCCGCTGGATGGTTTCCACTGGTCACGACTTCTTACTAGAACTTAAGAAAACTCCATTCTGAAGCCAGTCACTAGCGATCATGAGATTAATCTACAAGTGTGGTGAGAGCAGGCTGCTAGCCGATTGGTTGGCACTAATCTACGTTAAGGTCTAGGTCACTAATATGGGCCGTGAGAAAATATGAACAAGCCTGAGTCAACAACCAATCACAGCAAAGTTAACGTGGCAGAATATGATTCGCAGAGAGAACTCTATTTGTCAAGGAATCCCGAAACAACCAATCAGAAGCCTGCGTTTGTCTACCTAAACAACCAATCAGATGACTGCGCTTGTCTATAATAATGTAGTTGAAAGATGTATAAATACGTGTTGATTTTCATAATAAAACGATCTGTTGCCTGGCCCTTGTCTTCTGTTGTTACACAAGAGTTGGTTTGTAGGGGATTTGATTTATTTTCGAAGTTTGACGGCATAAATGCATGGATCATTGAGTCTCATCCCAGTGGGTGAACTGTCTACTAGCTTGTTTTGTGCGTACTGCTGATGAGACCCAAGCTAGGATGAAACAGCTGTCTGGTACTCCCTGGTTTTCAGTGGTTCCCTAACTGATATCAACCCTTGGTCAAAATTGAATAAGAAATACAGAAATCGTATTTTATACTTTAAATAAACTGCACAGAAACGTTTCGCTTTTCAATTATTAACAGAGAATATTAGATTTTGAGTAGTTTATAGCTGTTTTATATGTCTAAACCATTTTCACTTTCAAAAGTTTGAAAATATTCAGACATTAGATATACGATATTCATTATTATAAAAGATTTTGTATTTCCCAATAAGTGAAAAACAAAGTAACACTTATGTCGTTTGAATACAAAACTTTTATATAATAATGGATTAACAGCTGTTTCTATCACACTTACCATTTAACCGTTGTTTACTAAGTAATATAGTTCCGTTGATTGCTCTGATTATCAAAACAGAAGATACCATGGTTATATTTTTGTTTATTAGTTCCTTCTGAAAGGAGCCCAGTTTCAAATCATAGTCTTCTCTAAGTGAATACCATTGATGGATGGATCAGAAACACGTTAGACAGATCACAAAAGTTCACGATATAGCGCGACCACTTCGCAGTGTCTTTGATGAGTAACTGTCTTCACCTCCAACTTACTGAACCCTACTGGTAACGGCTTCCCAGTACAACCCCAGGTGACTGTCTGAATAAATCTGATTCATCAGATCTGATGCTCACCAGCGGCTGGCCTTATTCAGGCAGTTAACCTGGGCTTCTTGTGGAGAGCCATAACCGTTAGGGCACAGCAGGTCGAGGATGAGAACAGTTACTCATCAAAAGTATTGCTAAGTGGTCACATTAAGTCGTGAATTGGGGGAATTTAGAATTCACGGGCCATTGGATCGGGTCTACAAGCTCGCCTGGTAACCAGAAGGTCCTGTATTCGAACCCTGGCGGTGGGTGCTTACTGATGAAGAGACCCAAACTAGGACGAAACAGTAATCCTTGCAGTTTTTCCAATAGTTCTCTAACTGATGTCAGCCCATGATGAAATCCTCCAAGCAATCAAACAAAATCCCTACAAACCAATACTCGAAAATCACAAAAAATTAGGGTATTTGGGAAGAGTAGCTTAGTTATTATGCTAACATCTTTCTGTATATTATCTTCAACTATTGAACACTGTAAAACCTCATTTACTTAAACGGTTATATATCTAAGAGAAAAGAACAACCAAAATGTTCACATAAATTTGCTTGTTCCAATTTATTCTTTATATCACATCACTATAAAAATGTAAAAAGTCACCAATAAATGGGGAAATACTCTACCTTCAGATTCGTCAGAAGTAAGTCTGCATTATTCGCACAGTACGAATTGGTCAGCAGTATATTCATTTGACTTTGATGAGTTAAGCTTACCACTAAACCTGTAATCAGATAATTATGAGTTCTAGTTTCAATATGCAAATTATTATTATATTATTGCTCCCTTGGGTTCCTAGTGGAACATAGGGCTTCAGCTGCACGTCTCCACTTGCCACTTCTGTCTTCCTTCTGCTGTACTTTTCACCTGAATCCATGTTAGTCCATACTCTTTCAACTCCCGTCTCTTCACCCCATCTCCTCCATGTCACCCTTGCACTGACGTCCCACTCGCCACTTTACTTTCGGCCTGGTTCCACTCGAGCAATGACCTAACGCGCGCGCGATGTCACCCAGCGGCCTCCTCAGCGAGTGTCCGATCCATCTCCACTTTCTCCTGCATATTTGTTAGTTGGTGATTGGTTCTTGTTTTGTTTGTTCCCATAGTTAGTTTCTTGTTGATGATTCTTTCCGGCCCGGCCATCAGATCTCCAGTATAGAACCAGCGAAGACAGTTGTTGATAAAGGTCTGCATGCAACAAGCTGTTGGAAATATTCTTTTTGACCCGCCCACCAGCCAAGTTTCTGATCCGTATAGAAGAGCTGAGTGACTTTACGTTTTTTATTGAAAATCGGAATTGATGTAATTTTATTGCGCTTAATTTTTGATGTATACCTTACAGTTTTATTTGTGGTTATAACTTTTCTTTCACTCTAATTTGTTTAAAATATGTATTTAAAGTAAGTGTGAAATAGCTACCTGGTGTTTTACGTGTAGGTCGGGCTTTTTAGAATCAACCAGCCATACTGTTATGCAATTAATGAGTATTTGAACAAACGTATAATCCACACGGTATTGTAAATTCCCCCTTGAAGTCGAAAATATTGTCCAACAGAACGTTGTCTTTCTATTCAATGTAGAAAATCGTTGATTGTTTGATCTTAACCTATACTTTCAAAATAATGTTCATTACAGAAAAATAGATGCTTCAAGTTTTAGAATCTTCGATCAACTAGACGGATATCAATATTTATTGATATTCACACTGACCGTAGACGCTTAATTGGTCGTCAGAACTTGTTATTATTATTATTGGTAGTAGTATTTCTTTTTACTTTTTTATATGTGAACACAATTTAAATGAATCAATTCTACCTTTATTTTTGCTATTGTTTCATTAGCACTGAGTTACAAAGAACGTTTAGGTGAAAGTGGACCACTGAAACCAAAACACATTAGAGAAGCTTATCGTGTATTGTCAGAAGAAGGTAGATGTTGTACAGAAACTCCTGAAAATCCCCTTTTATAAAGTATCTATGTATATACATATATATATATGTGTATATGAACGTTTAACCATTTCAAATTTTATTGTTTTGCTTGCAAAATATCCTTGTTACATTTGAAGAAATTATCAGAATAAAAAAAAAACAAAACAACACTTGTTTGTATTTACTTTTTATTTATTTAACTGAAAGGAAAGAGCTTTTTCAACTGTGGTAGTGTCTATGATGTATTCGAAGTTTCCTTCTTCCTGACTTCTCAAAACACCCGAAACTGAATTGAACTCGCTTAGTTAGTTAAGTGAACACACCGGACATATTTGGTTGGTTGATTTCAGTCAGAGCAGTTAAGTCTAGAAAGCTGTATTAGTTACAATTTAGTAATCGATTTGCACACAACAGTGTTTTTTTTAGAGTTATATATATATATATATATATTGTCTGCAGTTGTTTCGGCGTACCTACAGAACTTTCCGGATTATACAATCATCGAATCTTCGTTCGTTGAATCGAAATGACGCAATGCCTATACCATATGCATAGAAAAATATCAATGAACAGCAGAGTGGCGGGAGAAGGGCGAGAGAAAATGCCTACCAAGTAAATTTTGAAGCCATATAAATAAATTGATATGATTATGAGCAATAAATTGTACTCGAAACGTTATCTAGTTGCCAATATTGTATTACTCTTTTTTATGGAAAAATAGGCAGGTCTAATGTGCAGTACCATATTGCCCAAATTCTACAGTTGATGCAGTTAATTGTACATTCATACTTTTGATTGACTATTGATATATCTGGACGGAATAGGACGGAATGTACATCCATAGCTATCCATCAACAATCAAGTAACTTATAGAGCTGTTACTTATATTTCTAGTGGTAGTGTGGCATGTGCTACTTATAAGATTTATCAGTAGTATATAGGGAGACGTTCATCGGCAAAAAAGAGATCAAGTAGCAAGGGGATAGATTTGATGTCTAAGAGAGCAAAGGAACCAGTGTTGCGGCAAAACATTGAGAGACGAAAAGAAGACAAAGAAACTCAATACGAAGGGCACAACACGGATGATGTGTGCAAATGGTGATTTGAAGATAAGGTGTACATAATTTGGTTATATAGAGATAGCAAATTCCAAGTCTTTTGTCTTCTACCGTTACATTAGCAATAAAATTTTCTTAAAATTATCGAATGAATACCAAACTATTATGATTAACTTTGTTCATGCATGTTTGGATCGTATACTGGCTGCATTTTTTATTTGACAAGAATAATGTGGACGAACAGTCATTTTTATGATCCGTCTATGTTTAAACAGCAAGAAGAAGTGAAGATGAGGATGTTGAAAACTTATATTTCATTTATTCCAAAGCAATTAGCATGAAAGTTGTATTTCATCATATCTTAGCCCTATTTTTAAGCTGAAATTCGGTCCTTCCTCTACTATAATATGTCATATCAGTCGGGAATAACAATTCCCTGATTAAAGTACTTTTAAAATTTTTTAAAATTTTATGAGTTATGCTGCCAGAAGAGCGATTAATTAATGTTTGCGGACAGCTATGAAGGCTGTCTTAGCAACTATAATAAAAGCACCTACGAGGAGCATACATACATACTCGTTGGTCTAAATAAGAAAAAATAATTAATTCTGATACTGACATTTGAACAACTTTAAATTCTTTTGTCTTTTGTAAGGTAACGCTAACACCGATTCGACATGCGAGAAGTGAAATTGTTAAGGTAAGAGTTAAAAGCCATTCGTAATATGGATGCTGGGTGGTTGAAGGGATTGTTTTCATTCAATAAAAGGTCGTTTACAGTAAATGGAGTGGCTTAGTAATATAAGATAGAAGGATATACACTACTATGCATATAACATGAATATGAGATGTTAGAATTGTGAAATCACGTGATCCTTAGCCATAGGGTGTGTATTAGGCTCTTCAGGCTCTACATCCTACGCCCATGTGACCTCATATTGTTTATTCAAGTCCTCCGTAGGGTCAATACAATCTTTTTATTGAGAATTCTTCCCATAGATTTTATATAAATCTGAAACTTCAGTGATTAAGCACTGTATCACGAAGGGAAATGGAATAAGTGGAGTAAGAAGATATGGGTTACACCATGTGATGAATTAGTTGTTTAAATCTCAGTCACCTATGTACAAGACTATGCATTGTATGTATGGTGTAGAATCTGGTGTCGCTACTCTGGCATCTGGACTGGAGTTGGTGTAGAGAATCCGAGTCCTTTTGGCTTATGTATGATGAATTTTTATTAAATACCCCTACTCAAGGAGCTAATAAGCCCACTGTAACTCTGTTTCTGATTAAGACTTGCTAATAAAACAACGAAATTAATAAGCTAGTTGCCTTGAAAAAGCTGCAGTCGATATTGTACAGATGAAACTACGGTATCCTTGTATTCCAATTTAAAGACAGATGTGTCACTGTGACAGTATAGGGTTAGAATGATGGTTCAAGTCTATGAAATCGTTCACCACAAGTCCTTTTTTGATAGCAGAGAACCTGAACAACTACATTCTTTCAGTCATAATAAAAACCATAAGGAAGAAATTAACCTCTAGTAATATTTATCTGAACGTAGTCCAAACAGTGGTGCAGTTGCTAAAATCACTTTATAATAACAAATTGCAAACTTTGTATATTACTTCAAATACTTAAGCAGAGGGTGTGGAGATTACACTAGATTAGTGGCGTATGTTTCATCTTGATTAGGAAATTTTCTGAGCGTCAACTTTATGATTTTTCGATTCAGACAATCTAATTATCTTCGCTATGACGTTTTTGTTATTCATGGATAATCCCCATTCAGGCATTAATGAAAACAAAACACGTAGATCAGCAAAGAGACTCTTTTCGGCGAATTCATTTTCTTAACTGTACAATTGCAGATATATATGTGTTATTTTATGTGTATGTGTACATTAAGTTTGTCAAACAATATTACAATTGATTAAGGTTATTTTAACTAAATAGGTGAAGATTGGTAATACAAGTCAAGAAAATTAGGTGTTAGTGAAACTAGGGTAGTAACAAAGGTGATGAGTTGTCACAAACAGTTGTTAAAAGAAGTTATGTAATAATATGAATAGTTTGATGAGTGAATTTTACTCAGGATGCACATAGGAACAAAGTAGATAATACGAAATTACGAAGGAGTTCTGAATGAATACAAGTATTATAAGCAATTAAAGAACAGGCAAAGAAACAAAATTAAGTCATCAAATCGAAAAACTCAAATCAAAACAGAAAAGTTGTTACCATGACATTAGAAGTGGTTGAGTAATTCTCCTTTGTAGGCACAGCTCTGGTTTTCCTATGTGAATGGACAGAGCTTCAGCGATACAAAGAAGACGTGACCGTATTGCCTTTGATAAGTTATTCTTGACTCTGTAGATTACTTTGAAGGAGGCGTTTGTTGAGATGAAATGATCGTTGTTGACCAGGTGTTCAATTATCGCACTCCTTATTGCACCACTATTGTCTTTTCGCAATCATGCTGGATAGTGTTCTTGAACTGCTTAGAATTCTTGTATTCATTCAGGACTCTTACGTAATTTCGTATTATCTACTTTGTTTCTATGTGCATCCTGTGCATCATCAAACTATTCACATTATTATTACATAACTTCTTTTAACAACTGTTTGTGACAACTCATCACCTTTGTTACTACCCTAGTTTCACTAACACCTAATTTTCTTGACTTGTATTACCAATCTTCACCTGTTTAGTTAAAATAACCTTAACCAATTGTAATTTTGTTTGACAAACTTAATGTACACATACACATAAAATAACACATATATATCTGCAATTGTACAGTTAAGAAAATGAATTCGCCGAAAAGAGTCTCTTTGCTGATCTACGTGTTTTGTTTTTCTTATTCATTTAATTCTCTTAAATGTTTTATTATCTATAAGTGTAAATCTCACGATCAATGGTGTCCAGCTCGAGACAAGTCAGACGATTTTAAAACTGTAAAATCCGAAATGACAGTGATGCCGTCGAGTGAGACCTGACTCTCAGTTTCCTCTGATAGAGAATGTTTGACCTACTATGCTGCTAGATAATGCCAAAATCGCAGACATTTAACCAGAATGAATATATATGGATGTAATACAGCGTTATACATTTCTTACGAACTAAACACTTCTGTGCAGTATATTATGCAACGTAAGCGAGATCAAAGAGATTATTTCAAGCGAAACAAAGTAACTGAGATACGGCATTCAGCTCTAATGACTGAGCCATTCTGTAGTCGCTTGATATCATTTACTGAAGTGGGTTTTTTTACAGATAGCCAGTTGTCAGTGTCATTCTTTCTAATATTGACCAAAAGAGTATGTAACTGATAGAATTTGCCTGATATGAGGTCAAGCATTCACGCTGTGAATACACTTCGCAGTTGTAGGGAATAATCATCATAGTTAAATTATTTTATATGACTACAGAAACGATGGCTAAAACAATTCCTTCTGTTGACCTTTTAAAAGCAAATTTTAAGTGGTTTTTGTTGCATAGTAGTAAAGCATTATAAAATATTATTATTCCACTTAAATTTATGCTTACTGTTTAAATGTTTGTTCGATATAAAACATCATGTTTAGAATTAATTGTAAACTATTTTGGAAGTTTTGGTGCATTGACTTCAAAGATTGGCTTTGATTCGCTGTGGATTTACGATTTGAAATTCCATTTCAGTTGGTACATTCTAAGCAGGTAATTAATGTCATCCATCAGCCTAGTGCATAAACAGCAGACACTGGGTAACTGTGATGATGCTTAAGATCGGTCTCAATTACGCATTCATAAATTCCATTATAATATGCCTATCCTTTGCATTATAGAATTCTACACCCCCTGACTGAAAGATTTCCATTTTTAACTCTCTATGTAAAGTGCAAACATGAGGCGCGGTAAATAGGCCCATGGTACAATCAGTCTAGGTCCTGTTGTGATACTGTTTGTGCATTCTCAGATGGTTTAAATAATT